ATAGATAGATAGATAGATAGATAGATAGATAGATAGATAGATAGATAAATAGATACATAGATAGATAGATAGATAAATAGATAGATAGAGGGCACAGGGTGAGTTGAAGATGACGGGGTCATATCTGGAGAATAAAATTAAGGGGTGAGAGAGGATTATACTAGGAGAAGTAGAAAGGGAGAGGTAGAACAGGGTAAATTATCTCACAAAAAAAAACAGAAAATAAAAGCTCTTACAGTGGAGGGGAACAGGGGAAGGTGAGAGGGAATGAGTGAATCTTATTCTCATAGAATTTGACTTAAGGAGGGAATAACATACACACTCAATGGGATATGGAAATCTGTCTTACCCTACAGGAAAATGGGGCGGGAGGGACAAGAGAGTAGGGGGATGATAGAGAGGAGGGCAGATTGGGAAAGGGGGTAATCAGAAGCAAGTACTTCTTAGGAGGGTCAGAGTAAAAAGAAAGAATAGAATAAATGGGAGGGTGGGATAGGATTGAGGGAAATAGAGTTAGTTTTTCACAGCATGTCTACTATGGAAGTGTTTTGCATAACTGCACATATATAACCTACATTTAGTTGCTTGCCTTATCAATGAGGGTGGGTGGGGAGGGAGGAAGGGAGAAGATTTGAAACCCAAAGTTTTAAAAACACATGTCTAAAAAAAATGTTTTCACATGCAACTGGGAAATAAGAAATACAGGAAATGGGGTACAGAAATCCATCCTGCCCTACAGGAAAATTGAAGGGGAAGGGGACAAGAGAAGGGGGGAGAGAGATAGAAGGGAAGGCAGACCAGGGAAAGGGGTAATCAGAATGCATGCCATCTTGGAGTGGGGGAGGGGCGAGATGGGGTGAAAATTTGGAACTCAAAATCTTGTGGAAATAAATGTTGAAAACAAAAAATAAATAAAAATAAATATAAAAAAACCATAAAAAACAAAAAAGGAAAAAGGAAATACTTTGTTTTATTAAGCATTGCATTATTGCACCTTGCAAATATTGTATGTTTTTAATAAAAATTGTACAAATTAATAAAAAATGATGTCACTGATCTAGGCAGTCTCACAACCTGCAAAAAAGGAGTGGAGAAATCTTTTTAAAGAAACTAATAGTACTTGGGCCCCATATTTCCCTGTTAACACCATAGAATTCCCTTCTCTTGAATTTCCATTTTGTTCACTTTAGGGAAATGAAACCTCATCTTTTTTTACCTCTTTCCCTCATTTTCTTCTATGGCCAGACTCCTGAGGAGTTAAGTGAAATCATGAGCAAGATGGAGTTCTGGAGTAAGACCCAAAAAGACCTGAGTTAGAATTCTGCCTCACATGCTTATTAGCTGTGGGACCAGTCATTAATTTATCTCAGTCTTGGTTTCCTTATCTGAAAAATAGGGATATAATAACAAAAATCTCAAAGGGTCGTTATGAGGATGTAAAGAAATCAGTCTATCAACAAGCATTTAATAAACAGTTACTATGTGCCAGGCACTGTGATAAGTGTTAGGTATGCAAAAAAGGAGGGAAATGCCAGCCCCTGTCCTCAATTAGCTCACATTGTAGTGGGAGAGACGCCAGTGCATGCAAGAAATATGCAGAGTGATTGAAAGGCAATCTCAGAGGGGAGGGTGCTAGCAGATGGAGGGACAGAGAAAGACATCCTGAAGTAGGAGGTGAAATTTGAGCTGATTCTTGAAGGATGCCTCGAGGTGGAAATGAGCAGGGAGAGTATTCCAGGCATGAGGGACAGCCAGTGCAAAGGCACTGAGGTGGGAACTAATAAATATAAAGCTGTTCACTTAAATGTAAGCACTTAAATCCACGTCTCTCTGGTTGTGTCTCTTCTCTCTATCTCTCTCATTCTGTTTCTCTAGTTGTCTATCTATGTCTCTTCTCTTTCTCTGTGTGTGTGTGTGTGTGTGTATGTGTGTGTGTGTCTCTCACCCCCCCTCTCCTTTGCTTTCTTTCTTCCCTCCCTTGTTTCCCTCAAATTCTGCTCATGAGACAGCTTCTCCATGAAGCCTTTCCTAGTCTTCTTGGCTTCTAATGCAACCTCCACAAAAACTTTTCCCATTGTATTTATCTATTTGCATGTACAGTCACTTGAGCTCATGTTGTCTCCTCCAACAGAACATAAACTGCCTGAGGTCAGGGCTGTCATTTTTGTCATTGTATCCTCATCTCCTAGCACAGTACTTGGCACAAAGTAGGTGCTTAATAAATGCTTTTAAATTGATAATCTTGGTAAAGATCTCAGAAAAACTTAGAACCATACAGAAATTTGGTTAACGTGATTCAAAGATCACAGCATTCTTGAAAAGCATTGGGTCCCCCAGGCATGTCACTATTTATAAAAATCTTGTTTCTTTCCTCTCCTCTTTTCAGTCCTTTTTATTGCTTAGAGCAACTCACTCACAAGCTGACTCAGTTCCTGCCCACCTCTCACAGCCGTGTTTCTTTCCTATGGAGGAAGTAAAAGACCAAATTGAGGCCCAACCTGCCCTGTCCAGCAAGAGATCATCTGTTACCTGGCACTCCCATCTGGTTTCAAGCACTGTGACATCATCCAAACTCTTCAGAAGCTCCTGAAACTGAGAATCATGGTACTCAAAGCGATGCCCAAAAGTTATGGAGCAGATGATATTGGAAACAGCATTGTTGATCTGAAAGTGGGGGTCAAAGGGCTGTCCTGTTGACCAGAACAGAAAAGGGACAGATCACTGTTGATTTCACTCATGTTCTTTAAAAGAACCCAGCAGAGCTTTCTATCTTTTCTCCCAAACATTTTTTCCCACAACTTCCCTTGCCCCATACCTGCCATCACATATATGCTTTATTATTATTGTCCATAACCAGCTATTACTTAGATAGATGTGAGAAAAATAAAACAACATGCTCACTTTTTAATGTTTAGTTAAGACTTGGGATTTAATTGACATATTTTTTTCCACATAGGTTACCTGTTGCTTTGGGCAAATTATTTCTCTGTCTTTGCCTCCATGTATTCATCAATAAAATGAAGGGGTTGGATTAGATGAGCTCTGAGGGCCATTCTAGCCTCTATCTATGATTCTATATGTGATATATCATGTGCATAGAATTACAAAGGTGTGCCTATCTGTGTAATGGGCATGGGCACACATGTGCCTGTGTGTCCATAGATTGCTTACTGCCTCATTCCTTCCCAGAGGCAATGTTGGGTGTCTGGGGACCTTCCCAGGGCCTGGGGAGTGGGGCATTTTGTCTGTCCCTAGTCTAGGGATGTTCTCCTTCCCCTGCTCCTCCCATCCACAGTTACAGATTCTCTTTAATGATCCTTTGGATAAAAGGACAATCAGAAGCAATTGAAAATACCTCTGCCTGACCAGCGCTCACCTTCTTCTTCTCTGATAGCCTCAATGAGATACCTGGCCTCCTCCCGGATGCGATCTTCCAGGTTTTTCTTTCCCAAACCAAAGTTCCTTAATGTCATTAAGGCAAATCTTCTTTGCTGTCTCCACTCTTGGCCATTAGACATTACTAAGCCTAAATAATAATGATAATAACATATCAATATTTCAAAAGATCTGTAATGTTGCTGGTGTGTTTATTCTCTCTACCAGCAATGGAATTCAATTGAACAGGCACTTAAAAAACACCCAAACACTGTGCTGGGTATACAGATAGTAAGGGCTAGACAGTTTTTTCTCCCAAGGAACTCTCATACTAATTGGGGAAATAACACTTAAAGTATGACTGTACGACATACAGAAATACTTGGAAGTCCTAAAGACAAAGCAGAGGGAGATGTGAAGGCTCAGAGGTCTGCAAGTTCTATAAGCAGAACATGTTCCTTGGGGTACATACATATGAGTTTCTGATTTCCTTTCTGCTTTGGAGAAGACAGCTATGGATAGGATAGGAGTCCAAGTCCTAGTCTGGATGGCCTGATCCACTTTGAGTGACCCAAGTTATCTCATGCGGCCCTTGTTGACATCATTATTGTCATGGTCCAGGCAGGGTAGTGACGCCTTGGCACATGGGTACTGGATACGCCACAAGGAGGCTCATCGTCCTTCATTTTGCTCTATGTCATCGGGAACTGGTAAGGCCCCTCAACCTTGCTGACAGTGCAGTATTAAGCAGTCAACACCATTTTTCTCTACCCAAGAATGGGGGAGGGTTAGAAGAGGGACCTTGGGATATTCCTTTCCCAAGAAGTATCTTTTCTATGAAGAACTTTGGAACTGAGGCCTAGAGAGGGTAAGGGACTTACCCCAGGTCACACAGGTAGAACATGGCAGAACTGAGATTCAAAGTGAGACACTGAGATTCCACTGTCTGTGACCTTTTCATTATTTCTTTCTGTCTCATAAAAGTATGTTTTCTACTCTGACTGACTTCTTATGCACATCCCATGAAGGCACTACTTTCAGACTGGGAAAGACTTTTGGAATGTTGTAGTCACCACACTCCTTTAGACAACCCAAGCTTGGGGGCCCTAGGCTGAGATGCCTTCACCTTCTTGCCTCAAAGGCAGAGTATCTCCATGTTGACCTGATTTGTGAGTGGTTAATCTTCCTATGTCACCAGAGGTGAGTGTATTGGAAAAGATCAAATACTAGAAAGAGATAGTTTATAAGAGTGAAAAGATGCTGAAAAGATGATGGTACCCTATACAAAAGTTTTTTGTTTGTTTGTTTAGTTTAGTTTAGTTTTGTTTTTAAAGGAAAGAGGCAGAGAGATATGTCTGGGTCAAGACACATAACATGAAACTGTGGGATTTCATATTATACAATCTGATAGACATGTTCACCCCAGTAACCTGCCACAAGTCATAAGTTATTGTTAAGATCAGAAGAGAGAAGAGCTAGTAGAAAGGCAGCAGAATTGTATTGTTGATTTCATGTGGAAGAGAGAATGGCTTTTTTCTGCTTGGCTACCCAGGGCAAAACCAGGAGCAATCAGTGAAAGATGGAAGGAAGAGGACAGGATTTGGAGGGAAGGGCGAATTTCTGACCAGTTAAAATTGCCCTAGATTGTCGTGGGCTTCTTTGAAAGGTGGTGGGCTCCCCATCTTTGGAGGTCTTCAAGCAGAGTCTGGATGACCATTTGTTGGGAATGTTGAGAGTGGATCCCAATTCAGGTCTGTTCAGTCTTGGGCAGTTACTAAGATCTCTTATGTCTCTGAGATCCCATAATTATCTCAAATGTCAAAGTATGCACCCTAAGCTCTTTCACTCATTCATTCAAGAAGCATTTATTTGGGATTGAAGATGCACAAAGTCCTGCATTAAGTGATGATAGAGATACAGGCAGTGTTAGACTGGCTGAGCTGTAATGGAAATTGCATTTTCATCTTGTTGGGAAGGTAAGTAAGAAACTCTTCAATAAATGCATAAATATCAATCAACAAACCTTTATTATTATGTCTCTGGCACTGTGCTAAACATTGTTATGGATTATTATTATGAATTGATACATAAGTTCAAGACTAGTACAAAATTCCTTAATATCAGACACAGGAGAATTTATTATAGACAAGGGAAAGCTTCATGGAGAAGTTAAGTATGTGAACTGGTTCTTGAAATATTTCAAGAGGCTTCTATGCAATTATGATCTCAGACAGAGTTATGGATAAAATAGATTTAATTAAAAGAGATAAACAGGGTAACCACATTTTGATAGAAGGTACCATAAGCAATACTTAGCCTTTCAAGAGGCTAAGAAGGGAAGGACAATATTCCAACTGGAGGGCATAGCATGGAGTAAAGGCATAGTTCGTAAGCTAGAACTTTGGTCTTGGAATTAAGAAGACCTGGGTTTAAATTGTTGCTCTGATATTTATGAACTCTCAGCTTCAGTGACCTCATCTGTTAAATGGGGGGCGGGTGGTTGGACTGGGTAGCCTCTAAGTTTCCTTCCAACTCTAAATCAATGATTCTATGACTAGGCTGGGGGTGGAGGAGGTGCGTTTGGGAAACAGTGCCTATGTTAATTTGGATAAAGTATGGGGGACATGAACATGATGTGTCACAAATAAAGATGTAAAGATTGGCTGAAGGGCCATCAATAATGTGGTGAAGAATCACAGACTCTTAGAATGTTCAAACTGGAAGGATCCAGTCTGACAGTACCTAACTTTAATTAGCCCCTTACTATACCTGGCTGATCCTTCTACTCTGCACTTAATGACTCCCTATTAAAGTCTTTATAGTGACTTTTCCAAGTCTTTGCTTTCTCTTCACTACCACACCAAATGTATGGCTGATATCTAAGCCTCTTTCTTCTATAAGATGTTCTCCCATGGGTTTCAGTTCCATGTCTTCATTCCTTAAGTCATAAGAACATCAAATTCCCTCTTGTCTCAGTAATAGAATAGATATACCTACTCCATGCTAACTTCTTCATCTTTGTTCCCATCCACTCCCACCACCCTTCCCCAGTCACTTCCCACCACCTGTCCCCTCCAAGACTTGATCTATATAAAAATGAAAGAAACCCAATAAAATTTTGAAAACCAATTGGGAAAAAAGAGATACAATATCTTAAGGAAGCAAATAAGTCCTTGAAAACTAGAATTGGGAAGTGGAATCTAATAACATTATAAGACACCAAGAAATAATAAAACTAGAAAAAATAGAAGATAATCTGAAACATCTCTTTAACAAAACAATTAATCTGGATGACAGATTGAGGAGAAGTAATATAAGAATTGTCCATCTACCTGAAATTTATGATCAAAAAAAGAATCTAGTTATAATATTACAAGAAATTATTAAGGAAATTATTCTGAAGTTCTAGAACCAGAAGGTAAAGTAGAAATAGAAAGAATTCATTGATCAACAAAAGAAATCCCAAGAAGAAAACCTATAGGAATGTCATAGCCAAGTTTTAAAATTCCCAGGTTAAAGAGTAAACACAGAAATATATTCATATTGCAAAATATTGAAAACAATTTAAATACTGCAGAAAAGTAATCAGGATTTTACAAGATCTCACAATTTCTACACTAAAAGACCATAGGGCTTGGAATATTATATTTCAAAGAACAAAGCAGCTGGAGTTGCATCCAAGAATGACTTATCCAGAAAAGGTGAGTATAATCCTGAACAAAAAGTATATTTGATCAACCAGAAGACTTTCATATATTTATAACAGAAAGACCAGAATTCAATGGAAAATTAGATATAAAAGATCCAGAACAAATATAAGGAAATCATTAAAGACTTACTGTAAGACTCTGATTAAAGTCAAACTGTTTACTCATGACACATGAAAACATAATAATATTAGTATTTTTTGTTTTATGATTAGTAATAATACACTTAAAACTATTATCCTTATTGAGGTAGTTTGAAAGAGAAGTTGGGGCTGAATTGTTTATGATGAGGTGATTCTAAAAAAAATGAAGTTGGGTAGGAAAATGGTTACAGGAGAAAGTATCTAATAAAAATGGTGCATGAAAGGAAGAACTAATACAGAGAAAGCAGGTGGGGTTGGAGGGCTGATAATTTTGGAACCTTCCTCTCATCTGAGTTGAAGAGGAAACAATGCATACACATCTGAAGAGCTTTAGAAGTCTTATTAATTTCTAGAAAGTTGAGAAAACTGGGGAATAAGGTGAGGGAGAGACTTTTAAAAAGTTATATAGATTAAGATTAGGAAGGTTGGGTGAATAGACAAATGAGGGACTTTGAAAGGATGGCTAACAAAAGGAATAAGAGGTTAAGGGGAGAAGATGAGGTTATAGGGATTGGATAGAAAGAATGGCTGGGAAAGAAAATAGTAAAATAAGATGGAGGGAAATTCACAGATCGTAATTATAACTTTCAATGTGAATGGGATGAACTCACCCATTAAATGGAAACAGTAGAATGGATTAAAAATCAGAATCCTATGAGAGATACACAAACTGTTAAAATATCAACAATAAAACAAAAAATAACACGCTTATATCAATAGATGCAGAAAATGTTCTTGATAAAATATGTCATTTCTATTAAAAACACTTGAATGTATTAGTGTAAATTGATTTTTCCTTAAATTGATAAAAATCATTTATCTAAAACCATCAACAAGCATTATTTGGAATGGGACAAAACTAGAGGCCTTCCCAACGAGATCAGGTATGAAAGAAGGGTGCCCACTGTCACCAATATTATTCAGTATTGTGTTGTAAATCCTAGCAATAGCAATATAAGAAGAAAAAGAAATTGAAGGAATAAGAATAGGGAATGAGGTAATAAAACCATCTCCTTTTGCAGATGATATGACTGTATATGTGGAAAATCTCAAAAAGTCAACTAAAAATTTAGGTGAAATAATTCTTAATTTTAATAAACTAGCAAGATTTAAAGTAAATCCACATTAATCTTCAGTCTTCCTATGTATCACAAACAAAATTCTGCAAAAAGAGATAGTGAAAAAAAATGCCTTATTTAAAATAACTCTAGCCCAGGCCAAGTCCCACTTGGTCATTGTTTGGGCCCTGATTGGCTCAGAGTAAATGTAAATAGCAATTGTTTCTGTTTTGGCTGGAAACTCTGAGGGTCTTCCTGACTGATTCTTTCTTTTTTTTGACTAGGTAAAGATGTCATTCCCTGCCTCATTTCTTACCTAGCCTTAATCACTGAATGAGTATTGCCTCAGTCAAACTGAGACCTGTTAAAGACCTTAGCTGGAAAAGGGCAAGGCTTCTCACTGCATTTGGGTCCATCTCCAGTCATCCTGATCTATATTTCATCACTAGATCCAGATTGGTCTGGAGGAGAAAGTGAGGCTGGTGACTTTGCACAGCACTCCCTCACTTAAATCTAATTCAGTTGCATGTCATGGCATCACCTCCCTGATGTCATTGTCCTCTTTGAGAATGAAGGACAATGATAACAGCAGACAGTGTAAAATACCTAGGAGTCCACTTGCCAAAAAATGCAGGAATTATAGAAACAAAACAATACAAAACTTTTTATACAAATAAAATCAGATTTAAATAACTAGAGAGATGAATTGTTCATCAGTAGGCTGGGCCAATGCAATAAAAATGAAAATTTTACCCAAAATAATTTCCATATTTAATGCCATCTCAATTAAATTACCCAAAAATGTTTTGCTGAATTACAAATAAATCATAACAAAATTTATTTGGAAAAACAAAAAGTCAAGGGTATCAAGGGAAATAATGAAACAAAAGTGTGAAGGAGGAAAGTTTAGCAATACCAGATCTTAAACTGTATTGCAAGGCAGTAATTATTAAAACTATCTGGTACTGGCTGGCCAGCAGAAAGGTAAATCAATGGAATAGAGTTAACATACAATTTACAGCAGCAAATAACACATAGAAACTTGAATTTGACAAGTGTAAAGACTTCAGATCTTGGGAGAAGAGTTCTTTATTTGTTAAAAATTGTTGGGAAAATTGGAAAGTAGTATGGCAGAAACTGATTATGGACCAGTATTTCACACCATTTACCAAGATAAGGTCAAAATGGATATATTACCTAGATAAAAAGAGAAATTTTACAAGAAAATTAGAAGCACATGGAAGATATTACTTATCAGACTAATGGATAGGTGAATAATTTGTGAATAAAAAAGAGATAAAAAGTAAAATAAAAATGGATAATTTTGATTACATTAAATTAAAAAGTTTAGTTCAAGAAAAATGTAGCCATGATCAAGAGGGATGCAGAAAATTGGGGAAAATTTTATAGATATTTTATCAGACAAAGGTCTCATATCTAAAATATGATAAATGGTCAAAAGATGTGAACATGCAGTTTTCAATGAAGAAATCAAAACAAGTTATAGTCACAGGAAAAATGTTCTAAATCAATATTGGTTGACAAATGCAACCTTGAGATATCATTTTACACCTACCAGATTGACTAACATGACTGAAGGGGATGACAACTGGTGTTGCAAGGTATGTGGAAGAATTATAACACTGATTCATCATTAGTGGAATTGTGAATTGATCCAAATATTTTGGAGAGCAATCTGGAGTTATGCCCAAAGAGTTACTAAACTACCTATTCCCTTTGGCCCAGAAGTACTACTACTAGATTTATTTCCAAAGATGTTTAGAAAAAAGGGAAAGGAACCTATATGTTCTAAAATGTTTATAACAGCTCTCTTTGTGTTGACAAAAAAAAAACAACTGGAAACTGCAGGGAAGTCATCAATTGGCTGAACAAGTTGTAGTATGTGATTGTAATGAAATACTATCGTGTTATAAGAAATGATGAGCTCAATGACGTCAGCAAAAACATGGAAAAAGTTACATGAAATAATAAAGAGTGAAATGAGCAGAATCAAGAGAAGATCGTATATAGTAAGAGGAATATTGTTTTAAGAATGACTTTGACTGAAGCAGCTAGGTGGTGCAGTGCATAGAGCACTTGCCCTGCAGTCAGGAGGACTTGAGTTCAAATCCACCTTCAGACACATAATATTCACTAGCTGTGTGAATCTGGGCAAATTACCTAATCCAAATTGTCTCACCAAAAAAAAAATGACTTTGAGTGAATAAGTTATTTTGTCTATTATAAATGTGTAAATTAACTATAAAGGACATATGAAAAAAGACACTATCTGCATCCAGAGAAAGAAATAGTAAATAGAAGTATGGATAGAATAAATTTACAAATATGTATATATGCATATATATAATATATGTTTCTCATATATATATACACATTATATATGTATATATATATACACACACACATATATGGGAAGACTGGGACGGGAATAAAAAGAAAAGAAAGAGATTTCCATGACAATGTTGCTCTATATTTGAAAAGAATATTAAGTTGTACATAGTAGATTGGCAATTTCATGTGCAATCATCTTTTTTGTAGTACTGTATTATAGAAATGTTTGTTTGATTTCACAAATTAAAAATAAAGTAAATTTTAAAAATTTTAAATAAAACAAAATTGAAATAAGACTTTGACCTGCAACTTTGATTTTATTGTATTCCTCCAGATGTACCTGCACCATCATGTGGGTCAAAGGACCTAAAGACACAATCATAATCTCACAGAGTTTCAGAGTTGAAAGGGATCTCAGAGGTCATCCACTCTAACTTGGACCCAGCAAACAACACCAACAAAACATTCTGAACAGCTTTTGCTTGAAGACCTCCAATGGGGGGAATCCACATTCTCTGAGGAAAAACTATTTCACTTTTGGACAGCTCTGATGGTTAGGAAGTTTTTCCTAGCATCAACCCAAATTGTACTCTTCTGCAACCCTCACCCTTTGCTACTCGTTCTGGGGCCAAGATCTTTTTCTCCTAACAGGCCTTCACACACATGAAGACACAAGTCTTCTTGTCCTTAAGTTAAACATTCCAAACTCCTTCAACTGATCCTCCTATGGGATGGATTTGAACCCCATCATCCTCATTGCCCTCCACTTCAATCTTACTCTTCTTGCCCCACTCTCAGACGTGAAGGAAAGGAACTTCAAAGGACTAATTTTTTTTCTATCATATTTCTTCTAGTCACAAGATCTCTATAGTAGGTTGGAATTCTTCAGGAATGTTGAAATACAGGAGTCAAAGATGTCTTTCAAAGAATCCTGGAGATGAAAAGTATTTATCATACTTCAAAAACTCACCAAATGTTTTAAAGACACGGAAGTGGATAGGAATTTGGGGACGATCAATAAACACCTGGTCTTGGTTGACCAGGACCTCCTTGATCAGTGGCAATCCACTTACTGTCATGAAGGTAAGATTGCCACCATACGTGCAGAAAACATTTCCGTATTTTCTGGCAAGCTGAAAAAGAATGAGTTTGAATTGCAAATTTCCATTGCCTTTCAGGCTAATTTTATTCTGTAGTGTTATCAGATAACATTGCAGCAATGTGAAACATCAATTCCAATGTAGTGCACTTAATTCAGTCTGATCCAATTCCACTGAATTCAGTTCAGCTCACCCCAACAAACACTGAATCATCCAACTATGTCTTAACTGTGGTGCTAGGAGTTGAGCAGATAATCAAAAACACCAGTTTCTTCTCTTGAGGAATTGACATTGGAAGGAAATGATCTGCATAGATGCAAGTAAATACAGAATACATGCAAAAGAAATTCTAAGTAATTTCAGGAGAGACCAGCACCTGGGAGGGATCAGGAAGGCTTCCTGCAGGAGATGACTGAGTTTTGATGAAAATTTGAAATTCCAAAACATTTAGGGGAAGAGGCAGTATATTCCAGACTCTGAAGTGGCTGCTACATTTAAGGCAGCATGTTGGGCTAGGAATATACTACAAAAAAACCACACCAAAACAAAACAAAACAAAACAAACTCAGAGTTTAATATGTGGGTAAGACTTAGAGATCAACACTTGAATCATTAGTAAGTTCATTGGAGTAGGTAGAATGCAAGCTCTCAGAGGGCAGGGCAGTTATATTTTTGTTTTCTTAATCTCCAGCACTTAGCATAGTACCTGGAACTCAGCAAGTAATTATGAAATGCTTGTTAATTTATCTATTGATTGATTGATTGAGTCTTTCCCCCACTGACACCCATCAAAGCCCTTTCAAAACTCAATACGTGATCTTTGAGTGGGACTAGAGTAAGAATCAATCAGTGCTACTGGCAATATGGTCATGCACTTCTCTGAGCTAAGCAAGGCTTGTCCTCAGGTCACAGATCCCCTGAGAGTCTGTCACCACACTCTTGTCTGAAGCCATTACAGCTTGCTAGTGCCCAAGAATGCTGGTCTTCTGCTTCAAGGACCTCAGACAGTGAATGTCCTCGAGTTGATAGCATATGATGTCTATTTTCACAAGCCAGGGATATTTAGACATCAAAAAGAAAAAAAAAAGTGAGGTGAGGGGAGGGATTTGATAAGGGCTTATGACTTCTAATCTAATAAGATCTGGATTCAGATCTTACCTGTGTCCCCTATCAGGAACCAGTCACTGAACCTTATTCCAAGATTTAATTTCTGCATATGTAGTAGCTATCTCAAAGGGATGTGTTGAGGAGCAAATGGGATAATTCATGTAACGTTCTCTTCAAATGTGCAAGGGTGTTATCAATCTCACCTGGGAGGCAGGCGTAGTGCATAGAGACCCAGCATCAGCATCAGCATCAGCATCATAAAGACTCAAGTTCACATCTCACCCCTGACTCATGCCAGCTGTATGACTCTTGGTAAGGCACTTAATTTTTGTATGTCCCAGGAGGTCTCCAGAGGATTACTCCCAGATCTGTGCATGGCCCTGGGCTAACATTTTATCAAAGCCTCAAAGGCAGGCACAGATAGGGTGCTTATTCTATTTTGTAGTTAGGAAGGGTAGCTGGGTGATATAAGTCAACTAGAAAAATTTTGATGTGCTGTGGTTGGACTGAATGCAATAAGGTGAAATTCAAAAGGGATAGATATAAAGTCTCACACTCAGATACAAAAATCGATTTCACAAGTATATTTGCTCTGAAAAAAATCTGGGTCTTGACCATTTGTTTTTCTTTAAATTTTGATAACTGCATTTCATTATAATCAGTGTCCTTTATAATCCTATTTTAAGCATTTAAAACCATAGTTCTGAGGGAGTATCCGTTGCTATCACCAGACTGACTGACAGAGGGGTCCAGGACACAAAAAAGGTGAAACAGTGCTTATATAGAGGTTGAATAAACACTGTGCCTAATATGAGTCAGCAGTGAGATATGGCAAGCAAAAAAAAAAATTAGTCATTGTTAGTGTTTGGTGAACTTAAATTAAAGGAACATCATTATCGGGATGTTGGAAGTATAATAATAACACTCAGAATTGCCCAGTAAAGCAAGTGAACGTCAGAGAACTGACGCGACTTGTCCAAAGTCTCAAGATCAGAGTCATGGACCAAGGGTACTTAACTTCAGGGGTGTTTGAGTGTGTGTTGTGGCGTTCTTATTGTTATCATTGTCTCTTTGTTAGTCTGATGAATCCTACGGTTTCCTTCTCAGAAGAAAGTTTTTAAATACATAAAATAAAATATACAGGATTATAAAGGAAACCAAGTGTGTTAAAATAGTGATCAAAAAAACGTTTTTAACTAAAATTCAGTGGCCCCAGTGAAGTGCCTCTGATTCGAGAGTTCAAAGGGACCTCAGAGGCTGCGTATGCGATTTCTGCCAGTCAGTCTATTAATGAACATTTATTAAGTGCTTATTCTGTGCCACATACTGTGCTGAGTGTAGGGAATACAAAAAAGCAAAAGACAGTCTCTCAAGGAGCTCACCTATCACTTTATAGATATAATAATAATAATAATAAAGCTGATGTTTATATAATGCTTAATGTGTGATAATCTGTGCAAAGTACATTACAATTATTATCTCATTGGTTCAGAATCACAGAAACTGAGTCAGAAGGGACCTCAATGGCCATCTAATCCTGACCACATACAAAAGTTAACTCCACAATAATACACCCTACAAGTGATGAGCGTATGACTTTCTCCAGGTCCCCCAAGTAGAAAGGGGGATCTGAACCAAAGTCCTCTAAGCCCAAACAGATGTTCTTTCTATGGCAAGAGGCTGCTTCTCAGGTAGGGTCAGAGCAGGGAAAGACACCCAGATTTCTGGCTGCCCAATCAAGCACATTCCCCAGGGCCCTAGTTCCCATGTCCCCCCTCACAGCCAGTGGATTCTCACCTTCCCATCTCACTCCTTACCTTTTGCATGGCAATTTGGGGATTTTTCAAGTCCATCTGGAAGAAGTTGCCCAATATTGGCAGCTCAGGAGGGCCAGGGGGGTAGTTGCGATACTGCCTCCTTCTCTGCAGATACTGTGTCAGAATCAGGAGGATGGCAGAGAGGATAAGCAGAGTCTGCAGGGGGATTCTTTCCCAAAGGGAGGGGAGCATGGTTCCCAGAGAGAGCTGCATCTTTTCAGAGCTCTGCCACCAAGACCAAACAAGCCAAGTTCCTTCTCCCTCTTCCTCTTCCTGCAGCAACAGCAGTAGCTCTGGGGGCACCAGGAGCAGTGTTCACGTGAGGGACAAAGCTCAAGCTGTGTTTGTCCCCTTGCAGCTGCTGCCTAGGCTGGCTTTATAGGACAGCAGTGAGAGCTCCAGGAAGTGCCAACCTCCCCTCTGTGCCCCAGCCCTCTGCCCTCTGCCAGGGCCCATGTCCTGGGAGCAAACACACCCTTCCTATCATCCCTACTCTCCCTCACCCCCACCAAAAAGAAGACTGGGCTTGTCTGCTGGGAACCAGAGAGACAACTTGGCCAGAGCAGCCTGGGAAGGCTCCACACACAGGCAAGCCAACTTAGTGCGGCCCAAATCATAGGGCTGGACCTTTGAGGCAAGAAGGGACCTCTTGTTTAGGAGAGTGGCAAGCTGAGGTTCAGGGAGGCCAGGAAACTGACAATGTCCCACAGCTCTTTGTAAGTTTCAGAGCCTTCACTGGAGCCCAACTCAGTTGGCTTCAAGTCAGTCCTCTTCTCCATAATATAAATGGTCTCCTAATGGGCTTGAGGACTAACATAGAAGAGCAATAAAGCTGGAATCCAGGGAACCTTGAGGGGTGTGTGGATAGATTTCAGTGGGTTTGTGAACTTGAATGGGAGAATATACTTTCAACTTCACAGGAATAATTAAAATAAAATTCCAATAGATTTGGAATAAATTGGGATAATTAGAATACAATTCTAACATAAGTGGAATAAACTAAAATAAAATTCCAATATAATTGGAATAATTGGAATAAAATTCTGATATAATTGGATTAAATTGTAATGATATTTCAATATAACTGAAGTAAAATTCCAATGTAACTAGAGAAAAAAAATTGGGATGACTGGAATAAAATTTCAATATAATTGGAATAAATAGGAATAATTCGAATGATTGGAATGAAATTCCAACATATTTCAATATAATTGGAATTTCATTTGTAATCCTACATATATTATTACATGCATTTCTTATTCTGAGAAAGGATCCATACCCGTTAGCTGCACAAGGTGTTCAGGGCACAAAGAAGTTATATACACTTATATACATATACACTATCTTCTCTGATAGGCAGGCACTTCTAAGTGCTTGGAACTACTTTTCCAACCTTCCACAGTCTGTGAGGTTGGGACCAGGAGCCAGGGGTGAAGGGAAATCCTTGTGTTTTCCCTTCCAATGGTCTTCATGGAACAGTGTCTACCTGCTGGATTTGGAGTCAGAGGGCCTGGGTTTGAATTTCAGCTCTTCCAATTTTGCTTCCCTGGGCCTCTGTTTCCTCATGTATAAAAAAAAAAAAGTAGGTTGGACTATCAGAGGGGTCAAACATAAGACCCCTGTCTGAAGCACCATAGATCTTCATTCCTGAGTAGAGGCAGGGGCAGAATAAAATGTAATTTAGAAATATTTAACAAAAAAAAATGAAGATACCAAACAACATAGATAATGCCAGTATGTGGTTTTCTAAGCTTGCAGGTTGACATGCCTGCCCTAGATGACCTCTGAGGTCCCCTTCCACTCAAAAGCTGTACTCTCTCACTATGGAATGTCCCCTTTGTTCCCATCATCAGCCAAGATGTAAACAAGAGATTGGGGTAGGGAGACAACCTTTTGGACAAAAAGCCAATCAACAACTCACAGTTTATTTATGAATCATAAAATGTTTTATGAGGAAGAAGTCTTGGAGATGATAGGATAAAAGGGTCACAGATTTGGAGCTGGACAGATCTCAGAGACCATCTAGTCCAATGTTCTCATTTTACAGATGAGGAAACTGAGGCACAGAGGAGATGAAACTTTACAGTGAAGCAGTGAAGACCATCGTCAATCACCATTATCCTAATACTCTATATGAATTTGAGGTTTACAGTGCATGTGTTATCTCATTTGCTCTTTACAAAATTAATGTGATTATTACGCCCATTTTACTAATGGAGAAAATGAGTTTAAAAGAACTCCAGACACTCGTTGAGGGTTGCATAGCTAGTAAGTGTCTCGGGCAAGACCTGAATTCAGGTCTTCTGACCCCAAGTGCAGGGCTTGC